TTTGCTAAATCATAATGAAATTAAACCACTGCAGGGTTTCCCCCAGAAAACTGTCTAAGCCCGGTGGTTGGGGCGCCGAGGCGGTCCATCGTGTTTTTGTATTAAAAGATGTTAAGCAGACAGGAAATGTAAAAATATTACTGGGTAATTAGATGTTACAGGAAAATATTGCCAGTGAAATGCTATTTAAACCCACAACTATAGAATCTTCCAAAAAAAAAAAAAAAAAAAAAACTGCACTTCTGTTTAATCCAAATTTTATACACACACACACACACACACATATATATGTGTGTGTGTGTGTGTGTTTTGTTTTTTTCCTAAAAACAAGCAATGTAGGGGGGCTACTACGGCATGGCGGGCTGCCAGGCTTATAACACCGGGGAAATCCTGCTCTGATAGTGAAACTGCTGATTCTAATAACAAGTTGTTGTCACAGGTTTGGATTCAGCTGAGGTGGAATTAGGAGGAACCATAAAAGTCGATCTGTTCGTTGGCAGACAGGAAAGGGAACACAGATACATCACATACCTGGTAAGAACAAAATGCAGGCAGTCTGCAAACACGTGTTTTTACTTCTGTGAACCTGAATTGTTTGAAGCTCTCAATGTTGGGATTTCATTCATGCATGTTTTTGTCTGTATTCCCAGATTTTGAGTCGAGGTCAGCTGGTAAAACACGGACGATATCAGATGAGCGGGCAAATGCTGATGAGGCAGAGCCTTCCCGTTACCAAAGAAATGTTGCCATCTTTCCGCATCATAGCCTACTACCATCCAAACTCTGAAGAAGTGGTTGCAGACTCCGTGTGGGTGGATGTCAAAGATTCTTGCATGGGATCTGTAAGAGGCGCAACAGTTGAACAATCGCACATCCATGCAAGCTAATGCTGCTTCATGCACAAGAATATTAACGTTTGTGAAGTGTCCTGAAGGTCGCCTTGAGCAAAAATAAAAAAACCTTTCTTTCTCTTTAAGCTAAGTCTGAAACCAGTGAGACCTGCTGCATTTTATGCATACCGCAGCAGCTTCAGTCTAAAAATCACGGCAGATCCTGAAGCCACAGTGGGACTAGTGGCAATTGACAAAAGTGTCTCAGCCCTCAACAGGAAGCACCGCCTGACACAAAAGAAGGTAACTCCTTTTGTCTGCTTGCCAAAAATATACTGCTCAAAAAAATAAAGGGAACATTTCACTTTAATTTTGTGTGTGGCTCCAAATCCAGGCCTCCATTGGTTAATAAATTTGATTTCCATTGATGATTTTTGTGTGATTTTGTTGTCAGCACATTCAACTTTGTACAGAACAAAGTATTCAATGAGAATATTTCATTCATTCAGATCTAGGATGTGTTATGTGAGTGTTCCCTTTATTTTTTTGAGCAGTGTATTTGTTATTTTTGCACACAGTTTAATTCGTCTGGTTGGTTAAACGCATTTCTGCAATTGCAAAGCTGTAACTTATGAGTGCAAATTAAACTCATCACTAGCTAAAGTTTATTTTGAGGTTCCGTCGTGCATACAGAACATACATGTATTAATTAATTATTCTTCATTAAATGCATACGAATGGATCAAATAACATAAAGGAAGGGAGAATAATTGTCAACTCAGCAGTTTGTACTTATGCAGAAAACTTAACATTTTCTGTTGAAAATGTTTGAATCTGTTAAGTGGTTGTGTTTAAATCACTTTTATTGTGTCTAGATCTGGGACATGGTGGAGGAATACGACCCTGGCTGCACAGCAGGGGGCGGAGAGGACGGCATGCACGTCTTCTACGATGCTGGACTCTTGATGGAGACGGGCACCGTTCCAGGGACGCCTTCCAGAACAGGTTAGCTCTCGCTCCTGCTGCTTTCTTGACAGAGTGGATAGCAACACAGCTAAATGTTGTGCATCTTTTAATGAGATCACACAATATCTCATTAAAAACAAGCAAACATTTCTCCAAGGACTTCAAAATAATCCCACTATTTTAGGTGGGATTGGATTAAACTTTTATGCATTCAAGTAAGTAAACACATTGTGTGATCTCAATAAAAGATGCCCTTTTAAGGTCACCTGAAAAAAAAAAAAGATCAAGCAAAAACCCAGAAGTTATTTGGAAAATACCAGTTATAACTTGCACCTTTAATACAAACCTATATGTTTTAAAAAATAAATAAATAAATAAATAAAGCTCTGGTGAACTTCAGAATTTTTGAAGACATTTCCAAACATGGTCAAATCTTCATTTAAATTTTTCATTTAATTGCACATTCATAGACATTTGTTTGTTTTTTTTAAGTCCCAAACTTTACTTTTGTGTTGTTACACAATGAGGTTTGAGGTTTATTTTAATTTTAGATTGGCAGAAAAATGCTATAATTGTTCAGTAGTAGAATACATTATCAAATACATATCTTCCTTAATAATTGTGCATAGAGCAGGGATCTCCAGCTCCCTGCCTCGGGGGGCTGGTGTTTTGCAACTTCACACCTTATTTCACCTGCATCTTTAAAACCTCACCGAGAAACGATTTGTAATCTTGGTTCTTCTAAATGTTTTCTAAATCTCTAATTTCTCCGTCTCGCCTGAACATTGTTGTTCTCTCCGTGATCCTTTGAATCTAGAGCAGGTTGATCTGCTTTCTGATAAACTGATCCTATAAATTTTTTGATCACTTGGGTTGCTCTTGGAGTATTTACCTTTTGATTTCCACATGGTCAGTTCATTCTGAAATATTGAAAAGTCGAAACAAAACAACAAGGCGACGCAACAGAAGACGCAGCAAATCCCGTGATCTTTGTAACCTTTTTTTTCCAAACGCACACACAATAAACATTAGAGCGCCATGTGTATTTCTCAGTTGTAGTGGAGTTGTGTAATTTCCTCATGCTTGGTTGATGCAAGGCGACATGTTTTTTTGGTTTGCCAACTTGCATGACAACATAGACGACAGTGGTAGCAGCTTTATCCAGACGGTGGGGCTGAAAGGGAAGGAAGGATCCAGCCACCCTCTCAGCTTTTATCCGACAGTGATAAAGTGCACCGCTACACTTTCAGTAGCAAAAATCCAGTTTGTTTCTTTGTCTAATTATTAAATTTTGCTGTTTTATCAGATTTCCAGTGCCCCACATCCAGCCGGAGGAAACGAGCCACCACTCTGAGACATAATGCAAGCAGAGCGGGTAAAAACCTCAAAAACCACAAGGATACCGAATTTTTGTATGGCAGATTAGATTATGGAATGAAAAAAAACCAACCTCAATCACATGAAATACAGATATTTTCTGCTCTGCATGATTTTACATGCAGATCATCTTGTTCTCCGTCTCTTCCTTCAGATTCGGATTTCTTTAGAGAAATTCATCTACTGCGTCGCAATAGGAGAAGAGCGCAGCAGACGAGTGGTAGTTACCATCAGTTCATGTCATTACTGTACAGGAATCACCGTATTTCGAAAGCGGTCATCGATTCTTGCTGAGATATTCCTCTTTTCTTCTTTTCCACTTCAGTTGAGGCAGGCGGCATCACGGGTTCAGATTTAACCGTCGTTCGCACTCGATTGCCAGAAAGTTGGCTTTGGCACGACGTGAAGACGAACGCTTGCCCAAGTAACATACCTGGCTGGTGAGGAACAGAAACGGCAACGCCAACACCGACGTCTAATGAGATGTTTTCCACATGAGACCGGCACTTATTATTTATCCATTTCAGTTCATCCACATCACATGAAAAAACTTTCTTCCTGCAAGACACGATAACAACATGGCAGCTGACAGGCATCAGTCTGTCAGACACTCACGGTGAGGAGGACTCTTGACTTACTTTTGCTGTTTTTACATAACAAATTCTTTCCAAATCAATCCCTCTCTCCATCTGCAGCTTTGATTTAAGGTTTTAAGGTAAACAAAGTGGTAGCTGGTGGAGTAACTTTGTTCTGTTTATTTTTTTTTATTTTGCAGGTATCTGTGTGACTGACCCATTAGAGGTTTTGGTGAAGAAGACTTTCTTCATCGATCTCAGGCTGCCGTACTCGGCGGTTCACGGAGAGCAGCTGGAAATAAAGGCAGTTCTCTACAATTACAATCCTAATCCCATCACTGTGAGTCTGAACTATTCCAGCCAAATTAGTTAACATTTTACTCAGCATGGATAATTTATTTGATCAAAAAATACCTTTATGCACTCAAAGCAAATGGATGGCCAATGTGTTTTTTGGACACTAATTAGCTCCTGTAAGCTAGCTGTTTTGCTTAACCAGCTTGTATCGAAATCCCCAGTTTATGCCCAGGTGCTCAAGCCAATTTCATCCCATCACACTGAAACTAATGCAATATTTTTTAAAAAGTGTATTTCTGAAGGGAAAACATAGATTTCAAGATGTTGAAGCATCAAAGGGTTGAAACTTTTGCACCCATTTCTTCTAATCTTTTGTTTGTCGTTTATGATGCCTGAAAATGAATCCTGCTGGATTTAAAACCTTGTTCCTTGTTCTATACACTTTAAGGCGTATGTGGATCTGATGGAGGAAAACAACTTGTGCAGCGCAGCTTACAGACGTCTGAGCTACCGGCAGGAAGTCCCAGTTGCAGCTCAAACTTCCCAGCTAGTTTCATTTGTCATTGAGCCTCTGAAGACAGGACACTTCTCTGTGGAGGTCAAAGCATCTGTTAAAGATTCAAGCCTTGAAGATGCAGTCAGAAAAACACTGACAGTGTTGGTAAGTCTGACTATGAAATCTGGATTTTTTTATTTTTATGAGATGTAACAAGAAACTTTCTTCTGAATTTATTTCCTAACTGGCACCTTCTTTGAAAGTCTATTTTCTTTCATTTGATGAAACGATCTGCTACTATTGCCTCATACCAGTCATCAGTGACTGATTCTCAGACAGTACAAAAGGTTAAGCTGTATTTAGTAGTGTGCTCAGTTTTATTCAACCCAGTTCATTTTGAAAACACATGTTTGCAGATTTGCCAAAATGATCTTTTAGCTTGATATGGTATCACAATGTTGTTCTGAACACACTCTCGATGTCCTCCATTTTAGAATATTGCACCGCTTTACTCAAACAGCTACAAATCTCAAACACAAAGATGGCTGCTTGGTCCAGGACCGGCAAGCACAACATGTCAGACAAGCGTTTTTAAACATACGAGATTTTATGGATTAATCACAGTGATGATCCTCCACGGGTTTTTATAATCTTGGATAGAAAATCAAACTCATTTGATTTTGTTATATTGCAGAAAAGCTTTATCTCCAACCATTTTAACAAAAACCATAAAAAAGAAAAGATTAAACGCAATGTATTTATTATTCTGGGACAACTGCTCGCCTCGGCATAATTGATAAACAGGAATTCTTCTTGTAGTCAGAAATTCTTGGTGTGGCATTCAGTGGTTTGACCGTGCAATTGTCATGATGTGGTGGAATCACATGTGGTGAGGATGAACACTGAGACCCAGATGATGGCAATGATGATGAGTTTAATGATGAAACTCAAACAGTCCAATAGAGGCGGCACGGCAGAGAGAATAGCACACAGCTAATTACCGGTAGCAACTGGTACACAGAAGACTGAAAACTAGAGCCGACGCCGATGCAGGACTTAACCAGACGGACAGACTGACGCTGACAAAGATAAGGACCCGACAAGAGACAAAGACAACAGGTGGGTTTAAATACACAGGAAGGGTAATCAGGTAACTAGACCCACCTGGGAAGCAATCAACAGGGAGGACAGGACAGAGACTCACAGGGAAACAGGACTAAGCACAGAAAATCTCAAAATAACTACACAGAGAAACACAGATCACAGCAACAATTAATTTTGTTTGTTGCCAACGCCACCTGGGGTCATCACCCAGGTCCGGTTTTGCAATAAGCAAAAGACAGGTTCCACCTTCTTCCTGCCACATTCGTGTTAATTATTTCTTTACATTTTTGTAGCCTGCAGGTCAACTGGTAAAGTTGGTGGAGATTGTCACATTAAACCCGTCTAAGAACGGCATTAGTAAGTTTACAAACGAGATACTAAAAGAACAGGAAAACAATATTTTATGTTGCTGAATGAACTTCGTAACTTGCCGCTTTTATCTCTAGATGGCAAAGAATCTGTAACGATCAGCGGTAAAATCCTTCCGAGTGACGTCGCTCCAAACACACCGATGAAGACTTGCATGTATCTGACAGGTAATTCAAACAAGCAACATCTGTGGAAGAACATTTCTGGGAAAAAAAAAATCTATTTCAAAAGCATTATACGTAATTGGTAATGTTTGTTTATAATTGTGTTAAAATGTTGCTAAAAGTCTGTCTGTGTTGCCTATCAGAGAAAGTTTTAGAATTTGCTCAAATCTTTGCTGCTCTCAGACCCACATAGAAAACTTAAAGACATGCTAATTGTCAAGTTTGTCCCTGTTGCCCAGCTAACACTTTTTGTTGTTTAACGTTCACATTATTAAATTTTGGACCATTTCTCTTGAACATTTCCGAACGTTTAACACCAAATTTCTTCAACTTACCTGCTTATTTTGTTTTTACTCCTTCAATTATTTTCTTTATCCATCTTGTTTTACAATTATCATTGAAATGCTTCCATTTTGTGTCTGTATCAGTTAAATATTTGCTGTTTTCCACTGTTTTCATGAAACTAGTAAGCTCAAACCTCACTTCATATAACTTAATTGTATTACTCTCTGAAGACACTGCATTGCACTCTGCACTTCCATTTATGTTGGTCCCTATTTTTGATAATTTACAAAGTGTATCGAAAAGGTTTAAATGTTGCTGGAACAAAATGCACCACAGACTCGACTCAAAATGACCAAATCTGAATATAAAAGAAAATGTCGGCAGCTTTTGCAAAACGCCCGTTATGCCTTCATCTTTGCAAGTATCAAATATTTTCACCGACTGCTTTGTTCCTGTACAGGGAAGATGAATCCGTTTCAGGAAAATATCATTAGTGGAGAATCATTGAGGGGTTTCTTCAGAGAGCCTCAGGGCTCTGGGGAGCAAACAATGATGACCATGACTCTGTCTGTCGCTGCAACGATGTACTTGGACAACACCAACCAGTGGGAAGCGGTGGGGCTAGAAAAAAGAGCTGAAGCTCTCCAACACCTAAAGAACGGTATCATCAGATAACAACCTGATTAACAATCCGAAGATAAATTATTTGATTGGATGAAAGTGAAAGCTTTTTTTTCTGTTTAGGGTATCAAAGAGAGCTGATCTTCCGTAAAAGCGATGGCTCTTTTGCTGCATTTCCTCCCACACCGAGCAGCACGTGGTGAGGCAGACGACAGCTAACTACATATTCATTATCTGCACACAAATAGTCTATTATTCTGTTAGATTTCTCTGAAATATTTTATAAAAGAAGAACAAAAAGTAATGAGAGGCAATAATTAACATTGAAAATAAATCCAATAAATAGAAAAACAGATTGTGTAAAACAATCTACACAATAAAGTCACCTAAAGAATATGTTAAATTATATACGTTTACTGTTCTTGTAAGCTGTGTGTAAGATAAGTGCCTGAATGTCAGAGTGTGTTCAAATGCACAGACTCCAAGCGACTTTATTACATAAACCTGTTCAATTACTTAAGAAAACATAATGAGATAACAATACTTTGGGAAATGTGTTTGTCCCAGCATAGCACAAATAAAGAATAACAGTGACAAACATGAAACAATAAATAACAGTGAGCAGTTCTCAAGGAGACATACAAATCACTCAAATTTCAACTTTGTGTGGAAGATTTCACAAATATTTCTCATTTTTACTGGGAACGGTCTGAAAAACAACAAGTATCCACTGGTTGGGTGGAAATTCATTATTGATTTCAGATGAGAATAGATTGACAAAGTGTTCAGTAAATAATCATTTATTAAAGCCAATGTGTGCATTACTCCTCATCCTATCAAATAGAAACATTTCTTTTTATCCCAACTGTCAGTAATAAGGTACATTTTTGTATTATTTATTGTCAGACCATGTATTTTTCATAAAGTGTCTGTGCATATCTGACTCATCTGTCTAAATATTTCCTCCACAAGGCTCACTGCTTATGTCGCCAAGGTGTTCAGCATCATGTCCAACATGATAGATGTAGATTCAGCAAATATCTGTGGTGCCGTCAAGTTTCTGATCCTGACCACGCAGCAGCCGACCGGGGTGTTTAGAGAAGTTGGACGTGTGTTTCACACCGAAATGATGGTGAGTCATTTGATTTTAATAATAAAACAGAAGCAAAAATGAAAATCCATTCATGTGGCTTTGCAGGGCGACGTTGCTGGCACAGATTCAGATGCTTCCACAACAGCTTTCTGTCTGATTGCCATCCAGGAGGCGCGAAGGATATGTGCCGAATCTGTTCCTGTGAGTGCGACCTTCTTCTGGTCTCTGTGTTACACTTCAATATTCAAATGCTGCCTATAGCATTTAGTAGCAGTCGTTTTATTTGGTTGTACAGAATAATCATGAGAGAAAAAAAAATTTAGTTTGCAATGTAAGAAAGCTAAAACCAACACTTACATTTAAACATACAGTGTGTGTTCTCGAAGCGGCTTAACTGTTTACATAAACGATCAGTCCTATAATTCATAAAACGTAAATTAGTACTTATGTTAAATAGACAAAACCGAAATACCATCAGAATGACATGGGGCAAACGATAATACACTTTTTTTTCTCCTTATATTCCCTACATTTACCTTTTTGCTAAATGTTTGCTGCACTCAGCTTTTGGCAGTATTTTTAGGATTGAATTTAAGCTTGAAAGGTAAGTATGTATATGTATTTAAATTCTAATTATTTTTCTTTCAGTCAATGACCCAAAGTATAGTCCGAGCAGCAGCCTATCTGGAGCAGCGTCTGCCCGCTCTTACAAACCCTTATGCTGTTGCAATAACTTCCTTTGCCTTGGCGACTGAAGACAAACTCAACAAGGAGACACTGTTCAAGTTTGCTTCTCCAGGTAACCAGCCAGCTTGCTGTGGTTGGTTATGTACACTGACATTAGGCCGCCAATAAACAATGTATCAATGTAGATTATATTTTGGGAAAAGAGAAATGGGTCAGACAGGGTTTTGGTCAGCTTGTAAGAGTTAAACTGACTTTTTTTTTTTTTTTAAGTTTGCTGTGTCCATGATCCTTAAACTACCTATCTGACAGGATAGGTAGTTGTAGTGTACAGGTCAGAAAAACTGCTGAACTGGTGACATGTTTACTCTGATTCTATTGATGCATAACTTACTAACTTAGCAAATAGATATTATGAATCCTAGCTGCTAAATCAAAGTGTTACTGCCTGACAGATCACACAGTGTGTGTAAAATAGTGTTGTGATGCTCAGATATTTTACTTTTAATCTAACAGGATATTTCATGTTTGGTCCACAGATCGATCTCACTGGCCTGTACCAAGAGGAAACACGCACACGCTGGAGGCCACAGGCTACGCTCTGCTGGCGCTTCTCAAGGCTGAGGTGACACTTCCTGCTGTCATGCAAGATCGTTGTAATTCAGTTTGTTACGTTTCAAAAAGCAAAGAGTGTAAAACAGATGAGCTGACCTCTAATTTGTCTCTGTTGGGTTGTTTTGGAGATCAGATGTTCTGCGACTCTGAAGCCTTCTTAGACAGTCACATAATGTTTGACTTTATTTTGTCTGGAGTAAATTTGAAAAGCTTTTTCTCACATTGCATCGTTGAAGGCCATTGACGAAGCCCATCCTGTCGTGAGATGGATCCGCAAACAGCCAAATTTAAATGGAGGTTATTTATCAACACAGGTGACAAAAAAAAAATCAAAAAACAGATTTTGGGTTCTGAGATTTCCCAAGGAAATATTTTCTAACATTTGCTCATGTCTCCCTCTCCAGAGGACCATGATTGTGTACCAGGCCGTAGCTCAGTACTGGAATCGTGTGCAAAACGTAGATTATGATCTGAAAGTGGAACTCATCCTTCCAGGGAGGGCCAGGCCAGAGACGTATCACTTCAATAAGGATAACT